CAGTGCCTGCCAACGTCTTTGTCGGCCATCTCATCACTCAAGGAACTACGGTTAGATAGCATTCCACTCCTCAAATCATTGCCAGACCTCCCTTCCTCCTTGTGTTCACTGTCTCTAGGTACACTGTGTCTACATGACCTCGATAACCTACACTGCCTGCCATCTTCTTTGTCGGCCATCTCATCCCTCAAGAAACTAGATTTGAATCGCATTCCACTCCTCGAATCATTGCCAGAACTCACTCCCTCTTTGAATTCACTGTCTCTATGTAGGCTTGATAACCTACAGTGCCTGCCATCTTCTTTGTTGGCCATCTCATCCCTTAACCGTCTAGAAGTTAATAGCATTCCACTCCTCAAATCATTGCCAGAACTCCCTCCCTCATTGAATTCACTGTCTCTATGTAGGCTTAATAGCCTAGAGTGCCTGCCATCTTCTTTGTCGGCCATCTCATCCCTCAAACGTCTAAATTTAGACAGCATTCCACTCCTCAAATCATTGCCACACCTCCCTTCCTCCTTGAAATCAATAATAGTAGAAAATTGTCATCCAGAGTTGAAGTGTTATAAAAAAGTTTCAGGCTCTGATTGGCACGAGATCGCACACCTTCCGAATGTCCGTCTTTATTGTTTTTAAGAGTTGTTCGTGTTTGTAATTAAATTATAAAATGATTGTTTTGCCGTTAATTTTGAATTTTTTCAATTGTAGTTGAGATATGATTTGTGATTTTGGATTAGATATAGGAGTCTTATATTTCATTAACGTTAAAATATTGATGATTTCCTCTTCTGAAATTTGAATATATTAACATATTTGTTTGGATGTATGAATTTACTCCATAAAGATGATTACAATGACATTAAAATCTAGAGGCATTTATCTACAAGGCACCCCAAAATGTGGTTCTTACCTACAACTCATATTGGCATTATTTTTAAGTACATAGCACCTTATGCATGAAAATGTGTATTTCACCATTTTAAAGTTAAAATGGTGAATTTTATGATGTGATATGAATAATTTGGGTGGTATAAATGTAAAAAAAAAAGTAAAGTTTTGGTATTATATATGTAAATGCATACGAATTGCGTGGTATGTATGCAAATACACCTATTGAAAAAGGTGAAAACTTATGGAGAAGGTGGTTTGGTTTGCCCTCTATGATCAGGTTTTTGTGTTTTAAGGATTGACAGTTAAAGATAATATTTTGATGGTTAATATCTTTTTGGACTTTGTATGTTACGACAAAAAGGGACAGAAGTGGGGTTGTGTGTTTATTGAAGGATTGAAAAAAGGTGTTGGAATACATCATGAATCTATAGTGTACATGTTGTGATAGAATGTTAGAAGACGTGGGAGGACCCCCTAGGGAGAGGTTATATTAGAATGATAGAAGTTGAGAAAATTTTAATGAGTTTTGTTGTGTGATAGAATATTATGACAGTAGAGAGATGTTAATCTGTTAATTTTATGCAAAGATCTAGCAAACATGTATGCGAGGAATTTCAAAAGAGACATTAACAAATTTACTTGAAAATTTAAAAAAAAGAGGCTAAATTCAATTGAAATAATCCATTATATGCATGGTGTTCCAGAAGTCTCCCCTTCCTTGTAGTTGGAAAAAATATGATAAAAAAGTGGAAAAACTTATTTGGTCTCTCGTGTCCATAAAGATTATGAAAAAATAGTAAAATGTGACAATGAGGGCTACGCCAAAATCTTAAAACATTCCATTGGAAGATCCATTTTATTTCCTTTAATTGTAAAATATTCATTCAACAATTAATTGTCTCCATCAAATTATTTGGTATTGTTGAATTCAAGAGTGTCCAATGAATCACTCCCAAGGAATAGAATGTAGAACAAAAGAAAAAGAGAGAAGACTGCTCTAATAAAAGTAGAATGAGTTGTTGACCTCATTTTTTGGTGAGGTCTGTTTCCCTTTCTAGAGCTTTTGGTCTAGCCATGGGACCTTCATATTGACTCTCCTTGAGGAGTTGTGTTGGGACTCATACCAATTAGAAATTTAAACCACCTCTTGACTCATTGTAATGTCATATGTATGGTTTCAAATCCTTGACACTTAGTTGAGTCGATTGAGATCAACATGTTAAAACTCAAGTAGAAGATTAAAGAATCCCTAAGGAAACTCTTTGAACTTAGGGGTTCACTCACTTCACAATTCACACCATTCACACACATTCACACTTACATACATTTCACCATTAAATTAAAATTAAAATCAAATTTTTAAAAATTCATGCAAACCAAAATCCAAGGCCCTAAATTAATTTCAAAATTTACCATGATGAACTCAAAAGCCCAAAACTCCCCAAATTTAAGTCAAATTCAAATTTAAATTAAGTAAAAGACTTTATGACATAAATTTGAGCCCACTCATCACATTGAAAATTAATCAAACTTAGGGTAAAAGTCTCATGATCAAAATGACCTAAAATTAGGCTCATGACAAATGACATAAAAACCCAAAAATCACCAAATCTACTTTTATACAAGTCATGCAAAACACATGCAAGCCACCAAATGGGGGCTCATTACAATAAATTTTTCGCTTTATGCCCTTGTCCTTTGGTTTATATCCTGAAAGCTGGTGGATCCCGAGCACATTACTATTCATGTTCTGTGCTTGTGTTTGTTATACGATAGCATGCTCAGATGGTATAATTTTGTGCTTCTCTGGCAGCAAGGCCTTGTCAAAGGCTTAGTACTTCTACATGTGTGTGTGAGTTAAATAAAAGGTGGGCATTTATATACACACCACACAATTGTTTTTTATTTACATATATAACACCTAAAGCTCCATATTTACGTACATAACAATCTTATCTTTGACATTACATCAATAATAACACTATCACTAATCTTTTAAAAGTGAAATACACATTTTCATGCATATATTTTTAACCATCAAGGTGTTATAAATGTACATATCAAACTTTAGGTGTTAGAAAATGCATAAGAATTGTGCAGTATGTATGTAAATTTGCCTAAAAAGAAAAAAATGATAGCTTCAATAATATGTTGCATTTTAACTTTATTCTCTTAATTTTTTGACTGTAGCTTAAAAATTTTTATTTTCATTCAAGAAATTTCATCCTCTGCGGGGATTTGCTCCAGCAGCTACATTCAACTTGTTCAAAACCATGGTGGGTTGGGGGAGACCAAGGGAATGTATATCATCTTTCAGTTTTGAGTTTTATCTTAATTATGTGCACCTTTTTGACACATTTAAGTTGGTGATTGAGGATTTGCAAATGGGCCCCTTAGAATAAGTATATCCAAGGTGAAGAATGCAAATATATTAATACATTTCATGTGCATGTATATGCAGGGTTGGTGTTGTCCTCCTGGAAGAAGATCATCCATCAAACTTAGTTGTATTTTGTAAATTCTATGGACAAAGGCCTCTGAAGATTTTGAAGAAGTTGCTAAGTGTCTTAAACTCTAACATCTCACAATTTATTGCAGGATACAATCTGCCTCATTTTAGTTGCAATTGCATCACTTATTTCCTGTAAAGTGGTTGAAGAAACATGCCAAAGAGGGAATTTTCGATGCACTTTGATTAATGTGCGACAGCGAGCACCGACTTTGTCACATTAGATGAGACTACTTTCAAGGACATCCCTCAGGTATATTTCTATGTTGTATAAATTTATTTGCATGTGAAACTGCTGTAAACTCACATCGCCGAACACCTGAAATAATTCCAAAGAACTCCTGCAGCTGAACTTCTCTATACTACTAAGAACACCAAGAACCTTCTACCTGCCTACTTTGGTTTGGACAGCTCTAGAAGCACTCTTGGTGGCTGCAATAAGAAGGTGAGCTGCTTGTACCGAACTCTAGCTACAGTGTTGAATATTAGAACTGTCGAATACCTCTGTTTATGATGTAGCCGCAAGTTCCCTTTCTGAATACCTTGCTGATTTCTGCCTCAGCTGGGTGGGTCGTAGCCAGCAAGAATCCCTTTGTTCTTGCTATGGTTCCAAGAACCAAAGATTTCGTAGCCCAGAAAAAACACCTTGCTGCTGTAGCTAGAACTTGTACCGAACTCTTGTAATAGTGCCGAAGGATTAGAATTGCCGGAGTGTCGAATTCCCTCTGTCTGTAGCCGAATTCCTTCTACCTGAATAACCTAAGGAATGAAAGATCTGTTTCCAGTGTAACGGCTTTTGTATCCAACATGTGAAAACGCAGCAAGCAGAACAAGGGAAAAATAGAAATGTTGAAAATGAAATGCAAGAACACAACCAATTACGTGGTTCGGTCCATAGACCTACATCCACGGGAGGGAATCGCCAACAAATTCACTAAGGCAAAGAAGAATTACAGGCTTTTTACATCAATGAATGAACACTCCTCTAGATATCTCCCTCTTGAAACTATCTCAATACAGGATCTAACACTCCCTCAATTCTTGTAGCCTCTCTTTTTCTTCTTCTTCTTGGACTGATTTCCTTCCACTTCTTGGTCTTCTTGGTCTGATTTCTATTTTCCTCCTTGTAGTAGCCTTCCTCGCCTCTACAAGCCTCCCTCATCTCTTTATAAATAGATGAGGCCTCCCAAGTAGACCATAAAAGCTTCCATAGTTCTTTTAATATCTTCTATGGAATTACAAATCTACTCTTTGCCTTAGTTAGCTAATTGTGAGTCAATTATAACAATTCTCCACCTTGACTCTTAATTACGAAGCTCCGCAAGAAAGATTCCCTCCACCTTGCCCCGAGGGGCCCTTAGCCCTTGGTTGAGTTTACTAAGTCCAGACAGTTCCTGAACTTAGTAATCACATTTCACGACGGTATGAGAACCTTTAGTTACTCTGATATGGTCATTTTCCTCCTTAAAAGAGTATCCGTTTTTCTCCAACATACCTAAAGAAATCAGATTTCTTTTGAGCTTTGGTACGTACCTGACATTTTGCAGTATTTTTTCAGCTCCATCATACATCTTTATTTTGATTGTTCCATTGCCGACCACCCTGCAAACCTTGTTATCTCCAAATAGTACGAACCCATCATTTACCAGTTGCAGTATCTCAAACCAATCATTATGAGGACACATGTGGAAAGATCAACCCGAGTCGAGGATCCACTCCTTGCTGGATTCTTATTCGGTGATCACCAAAGCTTCAGCTGAAGCATAGCCGTCCGAGGCTATGCTTGCTTCTCTAGGATCTTTAGAATTTTTTGATATTTATTCTTCCTGTCATGACAGTTCCTCTTGAAGTGACCATCCTTGTGACAATGATAACACTTAAAAGATCCCTTTGATGATTGATTTCCACCCTCCTTTCTTGATCTTGATCTGTTCTGCCCGTTTCTTGAATCTTTCTTGTCTGATATTCTCTAACGATAAGACTGTCTCCGCTGATTTCTTTGTCCATCTCATGTTTTCTTTGGAGTTCTTTGGCTCTAGTCAACGCTTGAACCTCTTATAATAAAATTTTTTGCACCCTTCCATAAAACATCACATCTTTGAAATGCTCGTAGCTCTTAGGGATGGAGTTTAATAACAACAATGCATTGTCCTCGTCATCCATCTTAATATCAATGTTTTCAAGATCATCAATAATAGATTTGCTCTGAGACGGATTTATCTTCATGCATCTTGAAAGAGTACAGACGTTGCTTCAAGAAGAGTCTGTTAGCCAAAGATTTTATCATATAGAGTATTTCGAGTTTGGCCCAAAGTGCTTGAGCCGTCGTCTCCCTCGAAACTTCTCTCAAAACTTTATCACATAAGCTTAAGATTATCAAGTTGTGAGCCCTGTCCAAAATCCCGTTCTTTTCTTTCTTGGTCATGTCGACCGGCAATGCCGCGGGCCCTTGCAAAGCTTCCATGACACCTTGCTGCACTAACAGAGCTCTCATCTTCACTCTCCACAGGCCGAAGTCGTTCTTCTAGGTGAATTTCTTGATGTCAAATTTGGCGGAGCACATTGTCATGGCTAGGTTTCCCACAGACGACGCCAATTGTTGTAAAATCGCCTCGCCGAACACCTGAAATAATTCCAAAGAACTCCTGCAGCTGAACTTCTCTATACTACTAAGAACACCAAGAACCTTCTACCCGACTTCTTTGGTTTGGACAACTCTAGAAGCACTCTTGGTGGCTGCAGTAAGAAGGTGAACTGCCTGTACCGAACTCTAGCTACAGTGTTGAATATTAGGACTGTCGAATACTTCTCTTTCTGCTGTAGCTGCAAGTCCCCTTTCTGAATACCTTGTTGATTTCTGCCTCAGCTGGGTTGGTCGCAACCAGCAAGAATCCTTTGATCTTGATATGGTTCCAAGAACCAAAGATTTCATAGCCCAGAAAAAACACTTTGCTGTTGTAGCCAGAACCTGCACCGAACTCTTGTAACAGTGCTGAAGGAGTGTCGAATTCCCTCTGTTTGTAGTCGAATTTCTTATGCCTGAATAACCGAAGGAATGAAAGATTTGTTTCCAGTGTAACGGCTTCTGTATCCAATATGTGAAAACGCAACAAGCAGAACAAGGGAAAAACAGAAAGGAAAAAAACGCAGAAAATGAAATGCAAGAACACAAACACAAGAACACAACCAATTACGTCCATAGACCTACATCCACGGGAGGAAATCGTCTATAAATTCACTAAGGCAAAGAAGAATTACAGGCTTTTTACATCAAGGAATGAATACTCCTCTAGATCTTTCCCTCTCGAAACTATCTTAATACAAGATCTAACACTCCTCCCTCAATTCTTGAAGCCTCTCCCCTTCTTCTTCTTCTTGGACTGATTTCCTTCCCGTTATTGGTCTTTTTGGTCTGATTTCTATCTTCTTCCTTGTAGTGGCCTCCCTCGTCTCTACAAGCCTCCCTCATCTATATATATGAGGCCTCCCAAGTAGACCATAGAAGCTTCCATACTTCTTTTAATATCTTCTATGGAATTACAAATCTGCTCCTTGCCTTAGTTAGCTAATTGTGAGTCAATTATAACAGAAAGTTATATGTCAGGCTTTTTTACAAGAAAACTTTTATTTCTTGAATAGTTGGATATATAACAATTTCGATAATAAAAATATTTAAGATAAGACCAAAATATAGCGATGCTGAAGCTAGAGTTTTATTTCTGTTTATATTCTTGGTTATGTGTTTTAGTTTGTGGTTGTGTCTCTATGTTTTATGATGACATGTAATTTGGAGAGTCTAGCCTTTATAAATAGCAACTGTTTTGTGTGAGCTGGGGATGGAGAATTTTTTAGTGTTTTTAATAATATTCCTTTTATTCTATCAGGTTAAGAAGTTTATTCAATATTTTGGAGTGGCGTCCAAGTGGTGATCAAACATCATTTTTCAATTGATGCATTTTTATCTTCCTTGCATTATGAATCTCCCTTTTTTTCTGCAAATACATAGAAAAAAAATGTTTAAGAGTAGATAAATGAAGGATTGGATCCTCAGTATGTGCACTGATTTGAACTGATTCTGTATTGTTTCTGAAAGCAATCAGCCATTGCTGAATTTGCTTCATCGTTTTATTTAATATATGTTTCAGAATATGATTATCTCTTTCAACGTCAAGGCTTTTGTTGTGAACTGGGTGAGAAATATATTACCGGAAATTGAAATTAGTTTTGTTATAATTCTCTCTTGATTGGCTGCCATTTTTGGAGGTTTTGGCAGAGTTGATTGCTGCACTACGCTGCACCTTGTTTTTCTCTCAATTATATAGTCATTTATAAATAAATACTTTACTGCTTTAATTTGACATTTTTAGCTCAAAATTGGAATAAAGTAATGTTAATTGTAAAATAAACTTTTAGATTTGATAAAACTATTTATTATATACTCAAACTTTATATTTCTAATCATCAAGTAGTTATTTTCCCAATAATATTTTATGTTAGGATTTATTTGATTTCAACAATAATTTAAATCCAATATCATAATTATCTCACATGTATATATTGCTAATTGGGGCATTTATATACATACCAAACAATTTTTATGTATTTACATAAATACTTTCCCATTTATATTTATAACATTAAAAATTTTTAACATCGCTTAAAAAATACAACCATCATTAACCTTTTGAAACTGATCCACATTTCCATGCATGCATAGTTTTATCACAAAAATGTGTTATAAGTACATATATCAAACTTTAAGCGGTGTTAGATATGTAAATACTTAAAGAATTGTGTGTATGTAAATCTCAATATTAAACTATTCCAAACTAACATTAGTTTCCCCATCATAGGAGTAAATCATGGATTTTGTTGTCCTCTGCTTAGGAAGATTTAGCGGCCTCTCAAAATTCCCAACTTTCCTATGAATAAAGGCTCTGAGGCCTTCAATGGTAAGGTGATTCATTCCATGGACTTTGCCAACATGGGAAGCATTGTTGCTGTCAAGTTTGTTAATGGAAAACATGTCGTTATCATTGGTTTCCTCAATTCGGCTCTTGATGCCACTGCAGAATGCGCTAATATTAACGGTATGGTCATTGTTATTATCACCATTAAATTCATAAAGCTACTTAGTCCACATGTAATAATTCCTTATATCCTTTATTCTCATTTTTCTTAAATTTGTACTTGTAGGTGTGGAGCTTCCTAGTACGATGATTGTTCGAACAAAACGATGAAGGAATTAGATTTCTCAGCTTGGAGTGTCCCTTTCAGTTACTTTTATTTCAATCGCTTCTAGGAACTACTCTTTTACAAGCCCGAAGAAGGGATTATAATAATCCTTTTGGCAACTATGTTTTCTCCTTTAGTAAATACTGGACACCAACTTCATTTTTTTGCTCTTCAATATAGAGATGGTTTATATCTAAGTTTGTTGAGAGCTACGTCAGAAAAACCACTCCCATAGAGAAGTATGTAATGGCTCCAGACCATAGCTTCTTTGAAGAATGTTAGCAAGTTGTTTTGCAGTAGTAAATATTTTTTATTTCTTTTGATTGTATTTATTTACACTTCTTCTTATGAGAAAATATTGTTGTTTGGATGATATAGGCACTGTGGCTGATACCAAAATCTGTCATCCTACGGAGTTTGATT